ATAGAAATTTTAAGCATGAGCCATTTGATCTGTTTTGTATCTATTTATCATGATGAGATATTATTTTTATAATATTGCCCAGCTTTATTTTTACATATAATAATTGTGGCAGCTGTGATTTAGAGCAAAAATGGTCACAGCCATCATGAGCGATCATCTTGTCGACCTAAAATCGTTGTCAGTGCACGTTTTAAGAAGCAGAAATGGGTAATTCTGCTTTTTGGCTTTTTTCCCCGCTATACTTCCACTTTCTGCAGCTGCCAGATGTTCACCACTCCTAGTTTTCCTTCAGGAGGAATAAAGAAATCGAGAGCAAATCAATCCGCATTGATGTTTCCGCTCAGCCTTCAGTTGTTGTTATTGTCTTTCTTTCCTCGGTGGCTTTCTTTCCCCACTTTTATCCGAGTTTGCTGTTAGTGTCCTGGATTGATTTCTTGGATTTTTGAAGCCTCTTCTATACTCCTGACGGACTACTGCTTGTGGCTTCATACCCCTGACACACACGTCTTATCAGTCTTTATATTTATTGCCAAAAATATCCAGCTATTGTTCTAAAATATTATCTATAAGATGGAGAAGAGTAAATATGTGTTTGTCCTCCATGTGCCTTTGATTTTGACGGTTTAGTGAGGGAATGCAATGACTTGCAAAACTGCACAATGTGAAGCAAGAGATACTGATTTGGAGGGCACAGTGAACTCTGTGTGACAATCTGAACACTTTACTTCTGGAAAAAAGCAAACCAACCAGCCTTCTGTCTGCTGTTTTGTAAAGTGATTTTCAATTGGTGCTTTTGGATTTAGTACATCAGACAGAATATGCAGCGGGAGGCAGTGCAGATAAGATGTGCTCGGTGATGATATACTAAAAATAAACACTCTTAAGCAGTAAGTCAGAGCTGTGGAGGTTTTTTTTTTTTCCATCTTCAATGTAGTGGTTTTAACAAAAATATGGGCACCTCGTCCTTTCACCGCAACTTGTTTTCTTTCATTTTCAAGGCTGGTAAGCGCTTTTAAACTTGTTTTCATTCTTTCAAACTGAAGACCGGAGCTGAGTGACATCAATAATGTATTCTTTAAACATGCGTGCTCATAGCATGCTATCACAGCCTGCATGAAGTGGATACATGCACTCATTGTACTGTGTATATTGACCTTTGAGTCGGATCAATAGCATCAATGTTAAAAGCTCAATAGTGTCCATCATTAAAGTAATGTGTAATAATGTGACCTCAAGGTTGTTGTGATATCAATACATTTTTAGTGTTTTTGGGTTTTTTTTAAAAAACTGATATTAAGGTTTAGTGAGGTGGGTTTTTTTTTGTTTGTTTGTTTTTCTTTACATATATGGTGCAAATTACTGTGCAACTTCCTAAAATGAAAACTAAACAGTCCCCCAGAAAAATTCAATAAAGCTTAAGCTCATGAACATGAAAGGGGGTGCACCCAATATTTCAAAATATGGATTGCTTTATATTTTAAAATATTGCTGACAGCATGCATTCTTGATTGCTTGCTCTGTTTTGTTTTGTTTTTCAATTCTTTTTAGGGCATAGTTGAAAAGCACTAGAGGAGTTTATTTTCAATAAAGGGAAGCATTACTCAGGGGCTCTCCAGGAGAGATTTTGAGTGGGAGCATCAGTTAATTCCTTTGTTGTCTGAAGTTGTTCCAGTGGGTCATCCACCCAGCTCCTTCAGGCTCCTTTTTGTCCAGCCCTCTGTCTCTCCCCGAGTACCACTCAGGGTCAGGTAGATGGCATTTAGTGAGTGGCTATAATTAGCAGAAGACCAGAGCAGATGGTAAAGTTGTCTGTGTTATTGGTTTGTTTCATAGGTGATGAGTGTGGAAAATTATTGGACGTCACAGCAGGACGTTAATAGGGAACAATAAGCGTGTACATGACATTCACAAGCCTTTTATGAGCCAAGAAAATTGTGATCATAGATTTACCCAGCATGAAGCATCTTGATGGTGAGTCATTTCACATCCTGTCGACAGACATTGTGTGTCAGCTGGTCTCTCAGAAATGAAACCTCTTTGGGCTTTGGCTCAGACCCTGGGAAGCCCCATTTGGTTTGGTGTCTAAAAATGATAATTTTTTCTCTCTTTTTATCTCATGTTCCCTAATAGCGTGCCTTTTTATCTCAGTATGGGGTCAAAACTGTGGTGCTTGTGGCTTTCCCTTTAAGTAGTGCCAATCATTGTGTTTTGACTTTGACTTCCCAGGCAGCTGGACACAGACAAGTGAAAAGACTCTCAACTTTGTAAAGCTTTTTAGTGAGTCTGTTCTCAAACCTGCAAATTTATTGTTTTGCTTTACAGAGTTGAAGCTTTCTGTTGTTTCTTCTTCTTCTTCCTCCTTCCTCTTATTTTTCTTATTGGTTTTTATTTTATTTTATGATTTATTTTTTTTCCAGTTCAGTTTCAGTTAGTTTCTGGAGTGGGTTTGCACATCTCAGTTTTGTTTCTATTAGCTCATCTGGCTGAAGGACCGATGAACTCATGCCGTGGCCAGACGTCCATCGTCTCTCTGTCCACAGGTCATAAGAATCTCTACTCCTCCCAGAGTATTTGTCAGATTTCAGTGGAACTTGGACACAATGATCACCTAATGGGAATGTGGGTCTTTGTGGTCAAGGTCAAGCTCATGTTTATCATTCTCAGTGATTTTAATTCACATTAGTTTACGCAATATAGCCAGTCAGCTTGTTTCTGACCTGACATGTATCGTGACACATGTTTATAATGTTTACTTTGAGTGGTTTTGGTTTTTTTTTTTATTAGTATGTGTGGTGTTTGTCAGGGGTAATTTACTAGTTGTTTAAGTTCTTTGACTAACCAGGGGAAAGATTAAAGACTTTCTGAGCATAAATCACAATATATTTGACTTACAATCATGTAAACACCCCAGTCTCAAAAAACAAATGCACCAAAACTTCCTCATGATTATTGTATTTGATCAGCATAAGGCTAAAGACCTTTCCTTCCTATTTTCTATTTTGTTACACTGAAATGCTTTTTCACATCTATTTTTTTGTGTTATTTACATGTATAACTTTGTGGTTATTCTCATAATATTGTTGTTTTTGTCACAACCACACAGAACAAAACTTGACTTGAATCATCTGGAGAGCTGTTTGCGCCTGTGTAGCAATCAGACCACAAGACTATTGTCCTGGGAATCCACTATTATAGCTGCCAAAATACCTTTCAAGAATACTTTATTCCCCTTTTTTTCTAGCTAATAGGGACCCTCCATGAAATCTAACTTTTCATCATGACGGAAAATAACAGTGCAACTAGAGTGGAAAAGAGTGTAATTTTCGTAAATGGTCGATTGGGGAGAAGCTGAAAGGAAAGGGGGAGAGATTGATTGGACAGTCTTTAGATGTAGAAGTGCTTCGATTTGAGAACTTGCCCACTGGCCAGTCATCTCAGTTCAGCTCAAATAGTCGCCATCATCTTCTCTGCGTATAATAGAGCGTGCTGGTCAATGTCACGGGGTTTGACGCTCAGCATTTTTCCTGCGGCTCTAAGGATTTTCTTTGTTCTTAGCTTTGGATAGTTTTTTCCTTTCTTGTTTGCTTTCTTTTTACCCTTCGCCGCCACACTTATAGGAGCATCACACTATTACAAATGGTACGTTAAGTTGTTCGTGTGTATTTGTACGCACATGCTTTGTGTTCCTCTTTTACCCTTGAGTGTACAGAATCCCTTAATGCTTGTTTGGTAGCACAGAGAGATGGTTTAAATGAAGTGGTCCAATGCTCGAGGGCGCACTCACATCAACTTGGCCTCTCTGGAGCAAATGTGTGTGTGCTGGGGAGGCACAGTGAATAAACATCATGGAGCAGTATGCCGATATGTGTGTGTAGGTGTATTTCTCATTATGTACAGAGCATTAAAGCTTCAGTGAATGTTTAAAAACATGCTGCAATATAAACATACAAATATGAGTGTGCTGTACTGCTGTTGATATCGTGAGGCTACCTTCTGAATTTTGTTCATTAGTTTCATTATGAATGTCTCTTTGCATTGCAATTGAATTGTTCAACCTTGCTGCCCACACTGTTTATCTAACTTAAACAACGTAATATATTTGCCTGTAAAATCCAACAAAGACCTGTTCTGAGAAATAGTGACGTATTTTGTGAACGATGAAGGAAATTGATTGTAAGTTCTGAACCTCCGTGTCTTTTTCCTGTGTGTGAAGTACTTGTCTCTGTCCTTGACACTTCTTGTCGCTAAGCAACTCAACATGACAGCAATTTGGCAGCGCCTAGCTGGCTTTGAGTGTTTGTAGGTGCAGTAGTTTAAGGCCTCAATGCCATGAGCAACTTTTTTTGAAGTGACAGAGAATGCAGTAATCAATGGTAGCTGTTTGGCTGTGGTGATATTTCTGCAGGACACTTTGTGTGTCAGGAGAACACAAACGTGTGACCTTTTCAGGCCATGCTGCCACTGATTTTATTTTTAGTCTGGGCGGCCAAGCCAAAAACCAAACACGAAGCCTCACTAATGCACTGCCTGTCACGGGTGTGTGCAGAATCACGTATTTATTTTATAATATATATTTTGTTTTTTTATTGCATTCTGTTTTTCAGTTACTTGGAGACTGTTATTGTGAATGATTGTATTAGGTTAATGTTATGAACTTGTGGTTTCAGGGTTTTTCCTGCTTAAAATGGTCCTTTGGAGTTTGTCACATAATCATTGGTCCAGATTTAGTTTGCCAAAGAATCTGTGGTACTCTTCGTAGCACAAGTTCATATATTTTGCTGTTATTTCTGGCCTTCTAATACACCAAAATTTATTTTATGTTTGAATAAATGAAACCCCACTTAGAAAAAAAATTTTTTTTTTGAAAGATCCTGGACATTTTAACAGTTGTGAAGTAGATTTGTTTTGATCACATGTTATGACTATGTATTTAAATTTGAGAATAAACAAATGACTTTGATTTTTCCTGTTTGTTTCTTTGTCTTCCTCAAAACATGTAGTCTCCTTCAAGTCAAGTGGCAGTCCTGCCCGCCCTCTCAGTGGATTCCTGGTTGGTCACCCATCTCACCAACCAGATTTCATCAACATCTGCGAGTCTGTCCGCTGCCCGCTGAGTTCACCTCAGTCTTCGTTGGAGGCCAGTCCAGCACTTCAAGCTGGACGGAGGAGAGAAGAGTGGGGCCGAGGGCCCAACATTTGTGTTGCGACATAGAACTTCAAATCTCATAGCACAACACACCACAGAGTCTACGCCTACAGGTCCCATGAGTCCACGGGAGAAAGCAGACTTGCCCACCTCAGGTTCTTCAACCAGTCACCTCAGCACCGCAGAGTGCCCCTCACACAGTGGGGTAAGTATCACACGCGCACGCACACATTTGCTGTGGTTGGTTCAGAGCAGTGAGGCGTGATGTGGGTCAGCTGGTTACACTGTAAAAGTATCCCACCAAAACACACACCCTCAAGTTCATAATTAAACAGCTGTTGTTAACAGGAAAGTATAATATAGTGTAACTGATGCTGACCAGTCTAACCTAATAACAAAATAAAAAAACATGAGCTGGAGGATTTTTTTTTAAGTTTAATTAAAGAAATGAATGTCAATTTTCTTTTATATTTTATATCAGTTTATTAGCAAAGTGCAAACTCACTGGGGGCTCTTGTGTAGATAAATACAAAGTAGATTTGAAGCACACACACCACACACATCGATTAAAAACAGTAATTGGCACTGAGGGTTAATCACTTGGTCATAGTCTGGCCTCAGTTTGTGTCCTTTGGAGTTTATTGAACGGCATATTTAATTTAACATAAAAAGGCTGCGAGGCTTTTCTTTATTAATGAGCATTATAAAGTTAGAAATGCCAATAACTGTTTAGGAACATTTTGGACCTACTTTGTTGTTAGTTCTGCGAGTGAGCTTTTGTTAGGGAATTATCCTTTAATCATTTAACATTAAACCATTAAAAATAAAACAAATAAAGCACAGTACATAAAACATGAGTTGAAGTAACACATTAACACTCTTCTCAGTAGGAAGTTTCCTGGAGACAGAAAAGTTGTGAAGTATTTTACATAAAGTATATCCAGTACAAAAAGCACAATCTGTGCCATTAACAGTTTGACAAAGCTGTGCGTATAAAACTTCAAATGCAGTCTGCTGCTATACCTGAGCAGCTTAGAAAGTGTTGCTGGAGAATTTAATTTTGCACATTTTCATTACAAACCTCCTCCTCAGCTTTTCCAACCTTAACTTATTATTGACACCCTCACCACCTTCTAGGCTGCTCAGACTCAATGATGAGTCATTCTGGGGTGTAGTAATTAGCAGTGCATTTTGATGAGGTTGTCTCTGGGACTGCCTGATGTTCACTTTTGGTTCCTCCCTTAAATCTCAAGCAATGTGGATAGTGAATAAGCCCAAAACTCACAGCTCCTGAAATAAGCCTGTTAGTACTATATAGAGTTGTCTTCGTGGAAGGAAAGCAAATGTTACCAAAATCACTGTGTTTAGCACCATATGAAGATAACCTATCAAACAAATGTGCCAGACGCTCACCCTCAGAGGCACCACTTGTCCTTTTTCAGACTGAGCGTGTGTGTGTATACAGTCGGAGCTGCTGTTCTATTGTTCGCTGTGAAAGACGATCAGCAGTGGGACACTGAGCTGAAACACAATAGTATTTGTGTGTCTGCTTGTGTTTGGCCTTTTTACCCGCTGTAACAGAACACAGACACCTGAGATAGCATCGGGGCTCCCTGCCCCAGTCAGCAGGGACACACTGTGTTAACACCCCACAGGCCACATTTGAATTTTTAAGTGTTTTGCTCAGGTGTTAGCTTCTCTCAGATGTGTTGTTTGTGCATGTGCGGTTTGGTTTTGGGGGTGGTATTACACTTCCTGTTTGCCGTGAAACTGGAAACTTTTTTTTTTCTTTGTCAGTGTGACCTATATATTTTATATGTTTGATTTACATTTGATTTTATGGTAGGGAGATGATCTCCTGTTCAGAAATATTTACACGTTTCTGTTTTTCTGATAGTTCTGAACTTGTCCCTGTGGGATTCTGGCATTTGAGTGCTTTCCTGGTCACACCCCTCTGTTGCAGAGACGAATTTTGAAACAATAGTTTCACATCCCAAAGTCATCAGCCTGCTATCTTTGCATGAACTATGTGTTATAGGGAATTTGGTGCTCATAACTGTTTTAGAAATAACATAAAAGTTAGAGATTGTCATGAAAGATGCCTGTAAGGGCTAAAAATACAACATCATTAAAGTCAAGTTATGGATCTTTTTACAGGTCATTTAATTTACTAAAAGTAATTAAGATGTTGAAGAATTTAAGGTGGTAATATCTGTTACATGAGTCCAGTCCAGTTTAAAGTTTTCCATAATGGAGATAATGAAAATAATTTGAGTAGGAATAAGAAAATATCCCACATAGGAACAAAAATATCCACAGAACCCAATAAACGCAGTCAACATTATGTCCTCTGTTTTGTTTTGTTTTTTTAAAAAAACTGTTTATCAGAAGATAACAAATAATGACAAACTCTCATAACACATGTAGTACACACAGCGCTGAATGAGACACGGCTAAGGAATTTGTTTTCAGTCACGTACACGCACAACAACGTAAAAGGAAAATGCCAACAGACGAATGACGTCTTTAAACATCCTCACTTCGTCAGGGTGGGTTTTTTTTTTTTTTTAACTTTTATCCATCTCAGGTTAATGTAACATCACTTTTTACTTCCTTTTCTTGTACCTGTCATCCACAATCACAGTCATTAAGTAATTCTAGCATCCTTCTTAGTCATTATTCATTAAACCCTCGAACATTGTGGGGAACAAATTAGCACTTACAGTTACCAGTTAGTATATTGGTTATACCTTGCCAGTGCCAGGTTGGGCTTCCTTTTTCCTTCAGATCCACTTTAACTCTTTGTTACACAGATTTTACCACATGCTGGAAACATTGCTCAGAGATTTTGGTCCACGTTGACACGAAAGCATCATATCACATCATGATGTGAATCTTTTCTTCTGCATACTTTGGTTGTAGCCATTTTTCTCTGACCTCTGACATCAATAAGGCATTTTGTCACAGAAAACTTCAGTTCACTGGATGTTTTTATCTATTTTAGACCATTTCTATAAAGCTTAGAGATGATAAATCCCAGTTGATCAGCAGTTTCTGAAATGCCAACAATGTAATTTCGAAGTTTCCCTAAATGTTTCCCTAAATGCCTTAAGTTGCTGTCATTTGATTGGCTGATTGAGTATTTGAACAAAGTGGCCAGTGAGGGTTTTCTATTTTGGAGTAACCCACCA